TTTAAAAAATGTAGATATTAAAATAAAGCTAACATTAGCTATTGGCAGAGATAATTAACAAAGGAGTCATTTGCCATGGAATTTAAAATCTGGCCATGGAAGTCTCAAAGTCTGTCTGATAACATGAAGTCTTTCCATCCCATTTCTGTCCAGACATTAGAAACAGGCAGAAGATGTTTTGTGATCCAAGATAATGTATGCCGCATAAGCTCTGTGAGGTAGAGAGATGATGATGTTTGCCCAGGATGGCGTTATAAGTAAAGGTATACGGATGACTCAGTCGACTTAATCAACAAGATAACTGAATGCAGAATAGCAATTTTCAGTGGTCGTAAGTGAAGGTTAAAATGATTCTCTTTCTTGTGACTCAAACCCCACATAAAAATAGAGGCTGCACTCCACATTTCCTGCAGCAGCACTGACCATAAGTGACGCATGTGAGAAATCAATCCAAAGAGGTGGACATACGTGCAAGCACCCTAAGCATATATGACACCACAAAGGAACATTGAATGTGATTTTATTGTTCCTTTTTTATGTACCACAAACAGCAAAATGGCTTTTCCCTATGTGAAGGGAAGACAAAGTTATTACCAAGAGTTCCGAGATGGTTCCACAGCAGTTTTGGCCGTCTCATTAGCTCGTTCAATTTACAATTCTAACACGTCGTTTGAGGTTCAGTATGAGAACAGACAGTTCAAGCATGAAATGTAGAGCTGTTCTCTTTCAGAGTTAATTTGTGAACTCCCTTTAATGGTTTCTGTCTTCATTTGCTCACTTCTTTCTTAAAGAAAGTAAGTCTCATAACAATGTTCACATTGCCTGAATTTGCTTCCACAAGTTTTCTGTCAAACAGACCATGTATCCATGTGTTAATTAGCCATTTCATTATCTTGCTATGAAATAAACACTGCAGTCTAATTTTGCTGTAATAGCAACCAAAACTGAAAAAGTACTGCCAGTCCCATGGGGTTTCTGTGAAGACAAAATTTACCATCTAAGCACTTATTAGTCATTCATGTTGCTTTTTTTTCTGTGTAATAGTTAGAAGCAACAAACAGCCGTTTGAAGCTGACAACAATCCCCTAATAGGGGGTTGTCAGTGTGCATGACTAGTGTAATCATTAGACCTGAAGAGTATATTGTTTCTTGAGCAGCATGATGGTGTGAATTATATACATAATTAAAATAATCTTCAGTCTTCACTTTGATGAATACTAGAATAAACTTGATGAGCCACAGTTGTCCTTACTTGAATATAAGTTTATTACAACACAAAGCTGGTGTCAGACAAGATATTGGTACAGCATGAATGCATGGACACAGCATACCAGAAAAGTGAAAGTAATATTACATTTACTCGACTTTATATACTATGACCATGTCATACAGAATCACATATAATCGCGCCACCAGGGAGGAGGCCAAACAACATACTATTTATCATGGGAGTCAGGAGCATCTACAAGGTCCTCATCTTATCTTTACCCCTGGACATTCTGAGCCTCTCCGCATAAAGCGAGCCATATGTGAAGGTCTCTGAGGCCTCTCAAAACACCAAACCATGGCAATGCACAAACTATACTCTCCTTCATGTCTAATACATTTCTATCACAATGCTGTAGATATAGATGAACAGGGCCTTAGCCAGAATTTTAGACATACTGAAGGACTGAAGAGTCCAATTAGACCAAAAAACAAGTCTCTTAAATGTTTTAATATTTTTTATTTTGCATATCTTATTTATTGAGCTGGCTGTTGAATTTTATTTTGTGCAATTGTTTCAAGGAAATTCTTCTGGAAAAAATAATGTACATATCACACTCTGCTCTTTCTCTCAGCCCTACAGAGCTTCATAGCGTCTTCTTAAGCATTTGCATGTTTTGGTGTGCACAGCTTTATTGTTTTGGTTTACACTCACTGCTTTCATAACATTTGGCAGGTGGCTGTTTACAGTGGAAATGGTAAAGTAAAAAAACGGCTCTACCTACCCAGCGCCAGCTGGCAGACAGACACAGTGAGCAACTTGCCAGTAAACATAGTGGAGTATGTAGCAGCAAAAGCACCACATATTTCCCTCAGGAGTTGGTGGGGACCAAAATAGAGCTTAAAGGAGAGTTAAAAATAGTGGACTTCAATTATCAGGGGGACATAAACATGACTCCACAGGAATGCTAATGTTGCTCCACATTGCATCCACTGGATGTGTGATTAGCTAACAAGTTCATCATGTCAAAGGTGTGTTTGCATGTTTCTGCTGCAGCCAGATGGCCAAAAATTATTATTGCAGGTTTAATTCAAATAGAATTAGCATTTTAGCATTTCCAATTCCCTCATCTCAAAGTCAGTAAGTTGAATTTTGAATGGGTTTTCTTTGGTTAGATGCCTGAAATTAAGGTCGGTGGTAAGCACAAGCTAAAGAGACTTTCACATTTTGTTCAACACCAAAAGATATATCAGGAAATAGCCCATTTGTGAATTTTGAGGCTTTTACATGTCTTCAAAAGGGCAGTTGCTAAGAAGTGGCTAAATGTGAATGTGAATGTCATCTCACTTTACAACTTTGTTGTGGTGTGGACGCTGAAGTTATGCAACCATGGTGTAGTTTGTTTATCGCCTAAGGTTAGCTCTTTATTTCTGGCAATTGCATTTACGCTTTAAAAACCCTAAAAGTGGTGTGCATTTGTAAAAATAAATCTTGCTGAACAAAATGTGAAGGCATCTTAAACTTTTATTCACCACAGAGCTCATTTTCTGCAACAATCAAAAATCCAATAGAAATATCCCACTGGCTTTTCTTCAAGGGAACCAGGGCAAAACTGCACTTTAAGTGAGTAATTAATGCATTCAGGTAAAATGAGAAAAAAAAACTATGCTACAACTGGACATTTTTCTGAAGTGAGACAAGTATGTTTTACTCTACCAAGTGCCATAAAATCATGACTTATGTTACTGCATGCCATCCTGTTATATTACAGCCATTTTTGTCACCTAAAAAATATCAATGATGATGCAGTGAGTTCATGTCAGCCACAATAGTCCAGAATTAGCCAGTATTGTTACACAGACACATACACATGCATGTCCATTGTAGATAATATGGCAATATGGCAACAGGGAAACAGGCAGCGAAAGAACGGTAAAGCATGGCAGAAAAGTTGCACAATCTTTTTAAATAAAAACTGATTGAATGAATTACATGTCATGTCATCGGAATGAGGTAGGGGTTCTTGATGTATTTGAAGGTCCAGCGTTTCTAAAGTATTTTACATAATAACATATTTTCTTCATAAAAATAGAGCAAAAATCCATATCAAGTTCTACAAGTAACACTTAAGGTAGTATTCAGAACTTTGGGTTGATTTTAGTGGTAATGTGTCAGAAAGTGTCCCAAATGACCCAACTTCACTCTATATACAGTACAGGCCAAAAGTTTGGACACACCTTCTCATTCAATGCGTTTTCTTTATTTTCATGACTATTTACATTGTAGATTCTCACTGAAGGCATCAAAACTATGAATGAACACGTGGAGTTATGTACTTAACAAAAAAAGGTGAAATAACTGAAAACATGTTTTATATTCTAGTTTCTTCAAAATAGCCACCCTTTGCTCTGATTACTGCTTTGCACACTCTTGGCATTCTCTCCATGAGCTTCAAGAGGTAGTCACCTGAAATGGTTTTCCAACAGTCTTGAAGGAGTTCCCAGAGGTGTTTAGCACTTGTTGACCCCTTTGCCTTCACTCTGCGGTCCAGCTCACCCCAAACCATCTCGATTGGGTTCAGGTCCGGTGACTGTGGAGGCCAGGTCATCTGCCGCAGCACTCCATCACTCTCCTTCTTGGTCAAATAGCCCTTACACAGCCTGGAGGTGTGTTTGGGGTCATTGTCCTGTTGAAAAATAAATGATCGTCCAACTAAACGCAAACCGGATGGGATGGCATGTCACTGCAGGATGCTGTGGTAGCCATGCTGGTTCAGTGTGCCTTCAATTTTTCAATAAATCCCCAACAGTGTCACCAGCAAAACACCCCCACACCATCACACCTCCTCCTCCATGCTTCACAGTGGGAACCAGGCATGTGGAATCCATCCGTTCACCTTTTCTGCGTCTCACAAAGACACAGCGGTTGGAACCAAAGATCTCAAATTTGGACTCATCAGACCAAAGCACAGATTTCCACTGGTCTAATGTCCATTCCTTGTGTTTCTTAGCCCAAACAAATCTCTTCTGCTTGTTACCTCTCCTTAGCAGTGGTTTCCTAGCAGCTATTTGACCATGAAGGCCTGATTGGCGCAGTCTCCTCTTAACAGTTGTTCTAGAGATGGGTCTGCTGCTAGAACTCTGTGTGGCATTCATCTGGTCTCTGATCTGAGCTGCTGTTAACTTGCCATTTCTGAGGCTGGTGACTCGGATGAACTTATCCTCAGAAGCAGAGGTGACTCTTGGTCTTCCTTTCCTGGGTCGGTCCTCATGTGTGCCAGTTTAGTTGTAGCGCTTGATGGTTTTTGCGACTCCACTTGGGGACACATTTAAAGTTTTTGCAATTTTCCGGACTGACTGACCTTCATTTCTTAAAGTAATGATGGCCACTCGTTTTTTTTTAGTTAGCTGATTGGTTCTTGCCATAATATGAATTTTAACAGTTGTCCAATAGGGCTGTCGGCTGTGTATTAACCTGACTTCTGCACAACACAACTGATGGTCCCAACCCCATTGATAAAGCAAGAAATTCCACTAATTAACCCTGATAAGGCACACCTGTGAAGTGGAAACCATTTCAGGTGACTACCTCTTGAAGCTCATGGAGAGAATGCCAAGAGTGTGCAAAGCAGTAATCAGAGCAAAGGGTGGCTATTTTGAAGAAACTAGAATATAAAACATGTTTTCAGTTATTTCACCTTTTTTTCTTAAGTACATAACTCCACATGTGTTCATTCATAGTTTTGATGCCTTCAGTGAGAATCTACAATGTAAATAGTCATGAAAATAAAGAAAACGCATTGAATGAGAAAGTGTGTCCAAACTTTTGGCCTGTACTGTATGATAATAAACATAGTCAGATTTAAATGTAATGTACATTTTTAACTGTAGAATGTAAACTCTGCCAAAATCATATGATAATAAACCTTAGTGTCATTAGTAGTAGTTACAGCGCTGCTCTTGATTGATGAAATTAAATAGAGGACCCCATTATTATATTTTGGTTAATTTGCCTTACAGGAAAAATATACTCTTGTAAGCTCTCCTGCTTATACCAGTTGCCAGCAGAGAACAGCAAGCAATAAAAGAAACATCAAAATGTCTTTAACTGCGCTGGTATGTAATATAAAGAAGACACTGGAAGTAAAGCATGTGCTGTGTGCAGTGAACTAACACCAAAATTACATTCAGTTACAAAGAGTAACAATAAAAGCTGCAGTGACAAAGCTCAGTACATATGTACGTCCTGGGAGTCCCTGTTGAGGAAAACGACAGCAGTGTTTTGCAGGTCACCTACATCCCCTGAGTACTCCTGTGGGAGACAGAAAGAAAAATTAGTACAATAATCGCTAAAGCATATCCTTGATAATGCCGTTTATCTTTAAATAGTGTGTAACAGAACAGTGACAGATATTTTAATGGAGGCTTACATTGTGCCTTGCTTTTATCGCCTTAACTTGTCTCTGCAAAGGATCCTGCTCTAGAAATAGATATTGAGGATCTTTAAGCCACAAATGATGATGCAAATTTCTCGCTGAAGATATATAATGCATGTGCAATATTGCGTAGACCTGTAAGGAGGTCAGAGGCACGATTCTGCCCAGATTTAATATTCAAAGAAATGAGAAGTTGCCTTACTGTGCTGTTTCCACAATTTTCTCGCCAGTATGGCCAAGCCCACAAGAAGCATTATCGAAGCACACACCAGCAAAGACTCCAAGATGTGACTAAAACACAGACACAAGCACACACTGGTATGAACAGATAGTGGAGCTTCAAGAGCAGCTCAGGCCTGTGCTGCATCTCTTCTTTCATGACGGCCAAGATGATGATAAATTTCTAATTAACAGCACTTTCAAGCACAATCATGAAGAAGTGCTTCACTCTTACCTGTGACTGTTCCAGGATTCCTTAGTGATGGGTTTGGGTGGAGGCAGGTATGCAGCAGAATGTAGGTGTGTAAGTGGGGATGTCACAGACACCGCTGCTGAGGATAAAGATATTATAGCTGAAAAGTGCTATTATAAGCAAAAGAAAAGAGTGTTTGTAGCAGCACCCACAGAGATCATAACATCAATATTCTTGATAAGTGACTCGTGATAATCGATACCTTGCACAGCTGGAGACCCAGGAGCCCCCGCCATCTGTCACAAACACATATTGATCCTTAAAGCTACACTTGGCTGCTTCTCATTTCAGCAGCTGCAGAGTGACGTGGGGAAAAGGCCACTTTGTCGCAGAATTGTGCCTCTTTTCATACCTACAATGTCTGGTTTAAATAGTTTTCAATAACATTTGGGAGTTTCAATCAGCAAGTCAGATCACCATCTAAACAACTCCCTATTGTATACTAATTTGTCTGGTTTCCACCCACTAGGCTTTACAGACTTTTAATAGATCCTTCCCAGACTGAAATCTCATGGTGAAAACTAAGCTTGTGAGATTTAAGGCTGGCTTTGCCAGGCTCATGGCTTAGAATGACAAAAAAACAAGTGTTTTAAAGCTGTTCTAATACATATTTTTATTTTAAAGGAGCTGTATTTGACATTCAGAGCATTAATATATCAGCAAACCACTATTGGCTATGTTAAGATATCGTGGAATATAGTGTCCTGAGCAGAGAATGAAGCCAAGCTACCTATGTGTGTTGCAATCTGAGCATCTTGATGGTCCAGACGCGCATGCATGTTAGTGCATTAAGTCCTTGTGAGTGTATTCCAGTGGTTAGCTAATTGTCGCTGCTCTGCACTGCACCCATAAAGTGGGTACCACTGGTGGTTACCATATGTATTGTGTCTTTTCAAAATACACCTCTTTTTTCACAGGACATGAACAGTTTGAGGTCATTATACATATAGCCTTTTTCAAAATAAACTTTATCAGTAAACAACGGCAGTAAAACACCTTGTAGTTACATTTTTTTTCTTCCTTGTGTAACAAAAGCACATGGTTAGGTTTAGAAAAAAACAACATGATTTGGCTCAACATTTACACAGCGGGCGAACAGGGGGCTGCCGCGTGGAAGTCGGGGTTTGTTGGACCCATCCACCTCCCCTCCCACCAGCCCTATTAGAACTTTCCAGCTCCTACTATTATATTCTTACTATCTTCGTTTCAAACTGACACCTTTTAGCAACACAGCATACCGACCTTGTTAGCAGCAGCATTTCAAATTGATGCTGTCCGGCGGCATATCATACCACTGTCAAAGGTGACTTTGCATTGTTGTCTGACACCAAAGTCTCTGACCAAAAGGCAGTGTTTCACACCTTGGGAATGAGAACTGGCTAGGTATTGGGATGACGTTTGCGCAAGGTAAAATTGTTAGTTCTATCAGCACTATTGCAGTTGTTAGTGTTGTTTATGGAGCTAGCACTGTTAGCTGCTAGGCACCGGCTCAGCCACCTCCATGTTGAGATCCGTGTGCGTACAATCTCACTCCAGGCTCTGAATCACAGATATGCTCTGAATGTCGCACACAGCTCCCTTAACAATGAGTCAAATGTGTATATGTAGTGTGAAATTGGTCGTTCCTAGGCACAAACTCACGAAGAATTATCACCTAATTTCATTTTCCCTAAACTCTATCATTTTAGTGTCACTGTGCTCATTGTTTTGGTTCTCCAGCACACACCTTTACAGTTTTGATTCACTTTCATGGCTCTCATGAACTTCATTTCCAGCCATAGCTATTTTCAGCAAAAAAGGCTCTGATAAAATCAGGGGTGTAGTGCTATTTGTTTAAGTACCAGAGCGCATCTATGCATGTCTTGTTTCAAAGGTTATGTAACCACTGTTCTTACGGTGGCAAGTTTACACTGGTCAAGTGTAACTATAAAATGAAATAATGTTTTGCTGCCTTTTTATCTTTACTAGTTGGGAACTACCCATTGGTCCGACATCCCATTGTTCCGACCATATTAAACCCATTGTTCCAAAGTCCGTTCCGAAATCATCAAGATGCCCTGTGGTTAAGGTCTGGTTAGGTTTAGGCACAAAAACCACTTGGTTAGGGTCAGGAAAAGATCATGGTGTGGGTTAAAATGAAAAAGAAAGTGACAAACACATAAGCCGTGAGCCTGCTCCGCCTCAAGCCTTTCCCAGCTGACCCAGAGCCGGTTGCGGCACACCATACACCCGCTGCGAGCCGTTCAACACCGCGGACAGTCGGACTAATGGGATGTCAAACCAATGGGCTGTCGGACCAATGACATGGACCCTACTAGTTAACCGTTAGCTAGCTAATAGACTGAGAAAAAAAATTGGCTCACTGTGCTGTACGAAGGCTACTGGCAGCAAGTGGCAACTTTTAAGGTGCATGCATGTTACTCAGTGCATGAGTTGATGTCATGAATCATACACCTTACATGTCAATACCACAACTCTGACCAGTCCATTTTTCATTGTCTATCTTACATGACATACACTTTAGTGATTATTGGATCTTCAAGTGCTTAAAAAATGTATTTCAACAGGATTATGCAAACTGCCAATATTCTAATTCCTCACTTGTAGAAAAAAAAGTAGCAGAGCAGTGTTTCAGTGCACTCCAGCAGTACTACACACCTGGATAAAAGCCACTGTAAACTACCTGCCAACACCAAACAGCAGGCAGATAAAGTTAGCTATCTGGTGAACATAGTGGTGCATACAGGGGCTAATGAGCTGGATATTTTTCTAAGGAGTCATTGGAAACCAAAAAACAGCTGAAAGGAGAGTGAATATTGGACTTGTATTACCAAGGTGCCAGAAACACAATTTCCTTAATTTGCTTGTTCTGCTGCCCCCAAATGCCAAAAAATCAATTGCTACTCATTTAAATAAAGATTTTGCCTAGTGCAGCATTAACAATGAGGCAAACAGAACAATTCCCCCTGACAGCAAGATAAAAGGACAATCTGTTATATGGATTTTTAGTTTTAAAGGTTCTTTAATTTTAAGGGGTCAACCTACTAGTCGTAGCCCGGCGTGTGACCAGCACATGCACGGGCATCTGCTGCTGTCCTGCAGAACACCAGTACCAGCCGGTATCTCTCATCTGCAGCTTCTTTAGGGTTATAGTGAAAGTCCTAGTTCTGTCATCGCTGATGGCCACTGAAGTGTCTTCGTAGTTCCCTTCAGAACCTGTCAGCAGACAGGAGCTCCAGTCTCCACTCCGACACCACTTCTTCTCACTCTCTCTGTTGGGAGGCAGTCACAGGGGAGTCAGTGAAGGCTGACTGTCCATCAAAGTTAGGCTTGAATTGAAGATTTTGAACAAATAACCACGCTTTCTCAGGTTTACTGATGCTTTGAAAATTGCTGTTTTAAAAGTGAGGATTCCACATGGTCTGATGGTAAATACAAGTGACACAACTGTAGGGTGATGAATGAGGCAATAAAATACCTGTATCTCTCACTGTAGTGGCATTCAACTGTGAGACTACTCCCTTCTTCCCCACTCACTCGGCTGTTCACCACTGACATACCTGCAGGGAATGAACACATCCTTAAATGTGTCATCCAAGCATTTGAAATGCATGAAAATGTTTTTTCAATGGGGATCAATAATGGCTCATCAGTTCAAAAATCACCTCATTACTCACCATGAATGACCTTGATGTTAGTGAAAGCGACATCATCAGCGCTCCACACACCTCCTATCTCCACACCACACATGTACCACCCAGAATCCCCCTCCTTCAGGTTGTTCATGGTCACCGTGAACACCAGCTGGACCTGGTCATCAAAAACGCTCACTTTCTTCTCAGCTGGATCGGCTGAACGGGGCTCATCTGTTCGAGCTAAACTGGTGCAGAACTCCCTCGTCTTCCCCTGACACCAGTATTTTACATAGCTGGCATACTGAGGCTCGTAATGACACGGGATTGTGAGGGATTGACCCTCCATGATGGAAAGCTCTCCCTCGGTGGTTACCTTGCAGATGACAGCTGATGGAAAGTGGAGATGATTGTGTGTTGAACTCTAGTTTGAACTTTGAAACTTTCAGTCATACGCAGCAGACATTTCTTATCTATGACTGGGAAAAGGGGGAGAGTGGCCTTGAGGAATACTTGTACCACATTTATGGTTTCGGTTTCCTTTGTAACAAAACACTATTCCTACTTTAACTTCCCTCTCCGTACTTCTTATTTCAAAATTGGATTATCCATCTATAATAGAGATTTGGGGGGACAAATATAACAGGCCTCTAAGACTTGACAAAATAAACATAAAGCATATACTCTTGCCAAGGGGCAAACTGTACCGCAGCTTGGAAGATTTGAAAAACAAAAGCCCACTCTGGCTCCTGCAGATCTTTCTAGTCTGTCTTCAACAAATGATGAATATAGAAGAGCAGTAAAATAGTAAAGAGAAATGAAGCATGAGCAACATGGCAATTGTAGCACCAGCTTTTGTCAAGAGCACAGCCATAGTGAGGGGGCTGAATCATCCTGTTTCCCATCATTTATCTGCAGGAAAAAAGGCATACTGTAGAACTTTTGTAAGCATATGATCTCAGTGGTCACAGTTATTACCTGGGATCCATGGTAACAGGCTGAGGGTGAGTATAAAGAGTCGCCGCATGTTTCACCGTTAGTTTGAAGTTTACCAAGTGAACTCCCCTCCCCTGTGTAAACACAGACTCAAGGTTCCGGAATGCCGATTTCCCCTCGGTCATGTGACCACAAGTTGGATCCAGATGTTCCAGATGTTAACCATGTAGGTGCCAGTTAGATTTTAACAGCAAGGGATACTTTTAGCCTAACAAGCTGTGCTCACTGTGGCACTGATACAATAAAAAGTGTACTGCTCCTGTTTTTACATCTTTTTCTCAGCTATGAAATGTTTATTTTAAAAGCAGTGGGGTCGGGAGGGTCAAAGTGGTATAGCTGAATGTACAACCATTTAATGTAAAAGGTGTGAAAAGATGCAAAAATCTTTAAAAACTGTTGCATATCTGTAAAGTGACAAATTTGCTGACACCTTTTGTAGGCTATTCTTCAACGTGCCCAGAGGATTTCTTTACATTGTCAGGAGTAAACCTCCCGAATTCCACAATATTAAAGAAACAAAGACCTTAGAAATAAAAGTTAATAATAGGGGAATAGTTAAACATTTGCTTTCCTGCTAAGAATTAAGACTGACACCACTCTCATATCTTCCTTGTAAATAGAGTCCACCAGGAATGAGTCCTAAAACCCAGAAATGAGTTAACATTTTACAACTTACAGTTCCCTAGTCTCAAAGTCAATTGTTTTTTTAAATGAGTTTTTGGTTAGATGCCTGAAATAAGGACTGTGGTTAACACAAGCTTAAGAGACTTTAATGTTTTGTTCTCAGACACTGAATACATCAGTAAATACCCAGCTTGGGAACTCTGTGTCTATGTATGGCTTCACAGTCTTGTTATGGTGGTGACGTTAAATCATGCAACCATAGTGTAGTTCGTTTATAGCCTAACGTTAGCTATTTACTTCTGGAGATTGCATTCAGGCTTCAATCATGAAAGTGGTGTTCATCTGTGAAGATTATCTTGTTGAACAAAATGTGTAAGTATCATAAACATTTTGTTGTTATTTTCAGCAATAATCCAAATTCCAATGGAAAAAAATCTCAGGCTTTTTGACAAGGGAACCAGTGCGATGCTAACTTCAACATCAGCCTACAGAAGAGCGTCATCCCTGGAGCTCTCTATACATTATAGGCTTCTGGAAATAGCAGCCGGTTAGCTATAAGCATAAAGACTGCGGACAGAGGGAAACAGCTAGCCTGGCTCCATCCAAAGTTAACCCAACAGCACCACTAAAGCTCAGACATTACCACGTTTAAAGGTCCAGTGTGTAGAATTTAGGGGAATATATTGGCAAAAAGGGAATATAATTAAGTCAGTATGTTTTTATTTGTGTATAATCACCTTAAAATAAGAATAGCTGTGTTATCCTTACCTTAGACTGAACCATTTATATCTGAATATGGAGCAATTCCTTGTCTACAGAGATCACCTTGTTGCACCACCATATGTCTACAGTACCCTGGAACAGAGCCTTGGAAAAACACTTCTTTTTTTTAACATGAAACTGCTTTATTCAGTGTTTTTACCATTTTAAATTATCAAGTTCATTTGTATTGGAGAGGAGGAGGCCTCTGTGGATAATTCGGGCCCCGGTGAAACATCTTAAACGTCTGGATCTCAAGTTTTCAGAGGGAAAGCTGAGCACGTATTAGTTGGTGCCCAACAGCGTAGGAGAAACAGTTTTTAGTAACATGAAACTGCTTTATTCAGTGTTTTTACCCATTTAAATCACGGAGTCTGTTTGTTTTAGAGAGAAGGAGACCTCTGTTGATAACTTGGCTCGTGGTAAAAACCTCCTGAACAAAGAACACTAAACAAAGTCTAAGTGGGAAAGGTTTCAGCTGGTTGCAATCTGCAATCCTCACTGCTAGATGCCACTGAATCCCCTTAAATCACACCCACTGCTCCTTTAATGGGCCAATAGCATAACACCTCCTAAAATCACTTATTTCTCATCTCGTTTTTTTCATGCTAAGGTTTTTGCACAGATTAAACTAACAAGATAAGCTTATCACCATCTGGCTTCATTTGGCAAACAGACACAAAAGTGGTAAATGGACTGCATTTACATAACGCTTTTCTACCGATCACTCAAAGTACTTAACAACACAAGTTGGCACGCTACCATGGCTACCAGACATCCATGAAGGGTGCCACCTGCTTATCAGGAGTGATATATCACACACACACACACACACTCCAGTATCTTGCCCCCTTTAGAATGAAGACTGCAGGGGCCAGAGATCGAGCCACTGACCTTTTGATTAGAGGACGACCCCTCTACATCCACAGGCACAGCCACCCTGGTTGTGGAGTGGTAGCATATCAATCTTAAGCATCCCTGACCAAGGACCAAGTGTTTTTCAAAACACTGTTCTTTAATGAAACATGTCATCTTTCCTCTCATACTTCCTGCTTTTATTATTTCAGTGTTGGCCCTATTTTTTAATAACCTATTCTTTTAAGCAACCAAATGCTGAGTGCCTTCCCTCCTCTGGATGCAGAGAATTCATTTGGCAGCCTACAATGAAATTATTTGATTTTGGTGCCTGAAAACTTTGGATTTGGTCCAGTCTTCATTTGTCGGATTAAGCTTCTACACACAGCCCCCTCAGCCACTGAATTAACAAACAATTATTCCAAGCTTCTCAATTTGCTCTGTGAAGGGTGTCAAGGATGTCCCTAAAGCCCCTTGCTTTTGTTTTGTTTTTTTGCTTTGGCTTCAAAGCCTTTTATGGTCATCCATTTCCTGGAAAAATGTAGGCAGAACCCAGAATTGAAACTGAACATATTCCTATGACAGTTCAGGCAGCTTTCGAAACTTAGCTTTCACAGAACTAATTATTTACAGACAGTGAAGCCTTGTGCCATTTCCCAATATCCTGACATTCCTTTCAGCTTTGGGATAGGCTGGTATCTGTTTGTCTTTGTTACAAGAGACTTGAAACAGATCTTATTTTGGTGAATTGCTGCATCACGCAAGATAAACTAGATAGTCGCAACTTTCCTCCTGTCCCACAGAGCATGTAAACCTGATTAAAATATAAAGAAAAAAGGATCTTCTATCAGTCTCTCTGCCATCATTCTTTTTTGCAAGCTCTGACTCTGAAATGTCCTCATATTGTGTGTAAAGGTGAGAAACCTTGCATATGTATGGCTAAGGCAAAATGGTGTCACAATGCTTCCTAATGTTTGTCTTCATTACTGAGGTTCCAGTTAGTGGTTTGTGTCTAATACCAGTACTTTGCCCAATAGGCAATTGCTCTAAATGGAGACTAGTTAATGAGATGTTTTCCTTCCAGGGCAAGAGGGAGCAGTTTAGTTGAAAGACACTCAAAATAAAAGTCTACGGTATTAATTATACCCTTGAAATACTGTCTACATTGAGGAAGACATGGATTGGGATCTGATTCTGTTCTACACCAAGTACAGTAAACAGAAGTGGAAAGTGTATTTACCAAATTTAAGTACTTGTTCTCTGCTTTTATGGTACTCTTTTCTTCTATTTTACATTTAGCAGGAAAACAAGTACAAAGGCTAGTGGGAAAACTATGTCAATGTGGAAAGTTCACATATTGATATACAGTTAATATTAATAATCATCTGATATGCATAGACTAGTACTGGTACTGTTTAAATTTTGAGTTCTACAATAATCCTGTTTTAATGTGTTATGTACATGTATACATATTAGGTGATTCATTCTTCTTCCAATAGACTGGTTGTCCTTTTCCTTATGTAGTAGGGAGGGGTGGGCCAACCCTACTAAATAAGGAAATGGGATTAGGGTTGAATGGGCCCCAGGTGTAGCTCATTCATGCTACCTTATATAAACAACCCAGCAAATCATCAGGCTGAAAAGTCACTGCTCCTCATTCCTGTGGCCAGATATTCCCTTGATGGCCAGCACGCTCCCTGGGTTTGATGTCTCTGTTAAAGAGGTGAATGCCTGGTCCTGCCATTAGTGAGAGCTGATTTACCCTTTGTCATGACCGGTGAGTGCTGACTGCTGTTTTGCCTAGGGGTTATAATTTTAATAATGTATTTAACTTATGTGATATTTTGTAAAAAGTTACACGGTGTTTAACAGTGTTACTGCCCACCTGCCCATTTTAATGTTTTTTCTTTGTCTTTGTTTTTAGGCTGAACCTTGACTGAGGAAGGGAGGGTTGAGGCCTGTCTAAGCCAGGGCCTAGCTCTCCAAGCTTCCACTTCTTTTTCACGGTTGAGTGCTGCTTGCTGTGTGTGTGTGACCTCACTCCCCTTTTTTTTGAATTGGCTTGAGTGGGTCTTCCCATTAATTTTCTGAAATCTGAAATGGCCCCAGTCCTCACCATCTAGTCACACTTTAAGAGAAATTTCAGCTTTAAAGTTAATTGATTGTAAGGAACAAAACATTTACTGGAAACAAGACTTTTCAAGTTTAGGGGAGACTCATGAGTACCCACAGAACCAATATTCATTCAGATATCTTGAGGTGAGAGTTCAATGGACGCCTTTGTAAAGTGGCCAAACTTTTGCCTTAATTTGGGATGTTATTTAGCCCCCTTTCAGACAACCTATGCTGACATGGTTGATACCAATAGATGCCTTAGGTTGTCTAGTTTTAAAAGATACCATACCTTTGCACTAGCTAGCTCAAAAAAAGAGCCAATCCAGTCTCACTCCGAAGTTGTCGAAATCCGGCGCAGAAAGTCAACAACCAAAGCACCCAGGGTACCTTGCACTAGAGCTTAGATTCTCTGCCCGAGCCCGAAACCCGACACTTAATTTCCCGCCACTATCCTTGGGCTTGGACGGGTCGGGCTTCTCATAATAGACCTAGGCTATGGAACCAGCAACTCTTGACGGTGCCACTGGCCATGTACATGTGAGTTGTCGGTGGTGACAACATGTGTGTCGGCTTCGTCAAGTGTACCAAGGGCAGCACAATGCTGGTACATGACAACAAAAAGACGGGGACCTGGACACTTAAGAGGCACATGACGAAGGCTTGCCATGGAAAGAAAGACGGGAATCAGCCTTCAATGTCCACGTTCATATCCTTAAAAGAAATGTTGGGTTTAAAC